AGACCGAGTACTTTTTATCGTTCCTCCTTCATCATCTCCTCTGTGCTCTCCACTCGGCCACAAGCCCTTCCATCCATGGGACTTTTATTTTGATTTCTGTATTTTTTCCCATCTAGAATCTCCATTTTTGCTCTTCTTTTTTTTTCATCTTTTTTATTATGTTAATCACCATACATTACATCATTAGTTTTTAATGTAGTGTTCCATGATTCATTGTTTGTGCATAACACCCAGTGCTCCACGCAGAATGTGCCCTCTTTAATACCCATCACCAGGCTAGCCCATCCCCCCACCCCTCTCCCCTCTAGAACCCTCGGTTTGTTTTTCAGAGTCCATCGTCTCTCATGGTTCCTCTCCCCCTCCGACTTACTTCCCTTCATTCTTCCCCTCCTGCTATCTTCTTCTTCTTTTTTTTTCTTAACATGTATTGCATTATTTGTTTCAGAAGTACAGATCTGTGATTCAACAGTCTTGCACAATTCACAGCGCTCACCATAGCACATACCCTCCCCAATGTCTATCACCCAGCCACCCCATCCCTTCCACCCCACCCCCACTCCAGCAACCCTCAGTTTGTTCCTGAGATTAAGAATTCCTCATATCAGTGAGGTCATATTATACATGTCTTTCTCTGATTGACTTATTTCACTCAGCATAACACCCTCCAGTTCCATCCACGTCGTTGCAAATGGCAAGATCTCATTCCTTTTGATGGCTGCATAATATTCCATTGTGTATATATACCACATCTTCTTTATCCATTCATCTGTCGATGGACATCTTGGCTCTTTCCACAGTTTGGCTATTGTGGACATGGATAGCACCTTTAAGTAGGATATAGTGTCCTTCTTCATCTCTTATTACAGTCTTTGTTTTAAAATCTAATTTGTCTGATATAAGGATTGCCACCCCAGCTTTCTTTTGGTGTCCATTACCATGGTAAATGGTTTTCCACCCCCTCACTTTCAATGTGGCGGTGTCTTTGGGTCTAAAATGAGTCTCTTGCAGACAGCATATTGATGGGTCTTGTTTTTTAATCCAATCTGATAGCCTGTGTCTTTTGATTAGGGCATTTAGCCCATTTACATTCAGGGTCACTATTGAAAGATATGAATTTAGTGCCATTGTATTGCCTGTAAGGTGACTCTTACTGTATATTGTCTGTGTTCCTTTCTGATCTATGCTGCTTTTAGGCTCTCTCTTTGCTTAGAGGACCCCTTCAATATTTCTTGGAGGGCTGGTTTCGTGTTTGCAAATTCCTTTCGTTTTTGTTTGTCCTGGAAGCTTTTTATCTCTCCTTCTATTTTCAATGACAGCCTAGCTGGATATAGTATTCTTGGCTGCATATTTTTCTCGTTTAGTGCTCTGAAGATATCTTGCCAGTCCTTTCTGGCCTGCCAGGTCTCTGTGGATAGGTCTGTTGCCAGTCTAATGTTTCTACCATTGTAGGTTACATATCTCTTCTCCTGAGCTGCTTTCAGGATTTTCTCTTTGTCTCTGAGACTCATAAGTTTTACTACTAGATGTCAGGGTGTTGACCTATTTTTATTGATTTTGAGAGGGGTTCTCTGTGCCTCCTGGATTTTGATGCCTGTTTCCTTCCCCACATTAGGGAAGTTCTCTGCTATAATTTGCTCCAATATACCTTCTGCCCCTCTCTCTCTTTCTTCTTCTTCTGGGATCCCAATTATTCTAATGTTGTTTCATCTTATCATATCGCTTATCTCTCGAATTCTGCCCTCGTGATCCTGTAGTTGTTTATCTCTCTTTTTCTCAGCCTCTTTATTTTCCATCATTTGGTCTTCTATATCACTGATTCTCTCTTCTGCCTCATTTATCCTAGCAGTTAGCTCCCCCATTTTGGATTGCACCTCATCAATAGCCTTTTTGATTTCAACTTGGTTAGATTTTAGTTCTTTTATTTCTCCGGAAAGGGTTTCTCTAATAACTTCCACGCTTTTTTCAAGCCCAGCTAGTATCTTTAAAGTCATGATTCTGAACTCTAGGTCCGACATCGTACTACTGTCCGTATTGAGTAGGTCCCTGGCAGACGGTACTACTCTTGTTCTTTTTGCTGAGGTGATTTTTTTCATCTTGTCATTTTGTCCAGAGGAGAACAGATGAATGAGAGAACAGATTGCTAACAGGTTAACAACGTCCCCAGCAAATATACTGTATACAAATCAGAAAAGACCTGTAACCAGGGGAAAAGAAAGGGAAAGAAAGAAAAAAGAAAGAGAAAAAAAAAGAAAATGAAAAAGATAAAAACAAAGAAAAACAGAACAAAACAAAAAAAAACAGAATATGATCAAATATGATCAGGCTAGTGCATAGATCAATGCCACACACTAGATTTGGGGCCTATTTTGATCTGTTAGAAGAAAGTGCCTCCTAATATTTTAAAGGAAGAAAGACTTATATATGTACAAAATAAGGGTTGATACAATGAAGGGATGGAAGATGACTGTAAAGATGAAAATTATAAAAGATTTTATAAAAGGAACTGATAAGATAAGAAGTTGTTTGAAAAAAGAAAGAAGATTAAAAAACAAAGAAGAAAAGAAAAAAAGAAAAGGGAGAGAATGTGATCAGGCAGGAGACTAGAACAAAGCCATACACTAGTGATTTAGGGTATATTTTGATTTGTTAGAAGAAACTGTATCTCAAAATTTTAAAGAGAGAGCAACTTATATCTATATGCCAAAAATAAGGGTAACTACTATGAAGGGATAAAATATGACTGTAAAAAATGAAAAATAAAAAAAAATTTTTTTAAATGGGATTGATAAGATGTTGGTTGAAAAAGGGAAAAAGAAAAATTCAAAAAAGAAAAAAACAGTTAAAAAAATCACCTTTGAAAAACTAATGAATCATGGTAAAAAAGCCATGAATTCTATGTGCAGTATTCCCCTAGCGCTGGAGTTCTCCCGTTCTCCTTGATCGGTAAACTTGGTCTTGGCTTGCTGGCTGTTCGTGCTGATCTTCTGGGGGAGGGGCCTGTTGCCGTGGTTCCTAAATGTCTTTGCGGGAGGCAGAATTGCCCCGCCCTTGTCGGTCTGGGCTGAGCAATCTGCTTGGGTTTGCTCTTGGGATCTTTTGTTCCCTGCAAGCTCTCGGTACAGCTTTGGAGGACCAGAGTGAAAATGGCGGCCTCCCAATCTCCACCCGGAGGAGCTGAGAATTCGGGGCCCCGCTCCTCAGTGCGCCCACAGAGAAAAGCAGTCACTCCCTTGTCCCCGATCTCTGGCCGCTCTCCGCGCTCACCCGGCCTGTGACCGAGCGTTTGTATCTCTGGCACCTGACCCCGTGTGGAGTCTCCAAACCCAGCAGATCCCTGCGGTGCGCTCCCGCGCCGCTCCTCCCCGGGGAGGAAGGGGAGTCTCCCCGGATCTGCCACTTATTGGGTCCCTGCTGGAGGAGCAGTGGCCCGACTTCCAGTAAGTGGTCGCTTTTCTGTTCAGAGAGTTGTTGCTACCCTCCTCTTCAATCTCCTGTTGAGTTCGTAGGTGTTCAGAATGGTTTGATCCCTATTCGGCTGAATTCCTGAGACCAGACGAAACCCAGGTCTCCTACTCCTCCGCCATCTTGCTCCCCATTTTTGCTCTTCTTTATATATCTTCCATTTCTTTGCTGAGATTTTCTATTTATTTTTAGATGTATCTGAAGCATGTCTGTGTGATGGCTCCTCACAGCATTTCCATTACATTGGCCTTTGAGTCCTTGTCAGGAAACAGCACCTGCATCATCTGAGAGTTAGCATCTTTCTCACTCCACAGATTTTCCTGGTTCTTGTTATGATGAGTGACTTTTTTTATGGAAACCTGGTCAGTTGGATATGATGTTTGGAGGGTCTGGATCTTATTTAAATCTTCTGTTGCAGAAGCTTTTTCTGGCACATTGCTGGGGTGCTGACTTATTACTGCCCGGTGGAAGGCGTACAGTCCAGATGCCCCACGTGCCCTCCTGTGACACCTGCTGTGTCATTCCTGGGGTCTTCATGGTCTTAGCCCGGCAGCTGCCTTCGCTCCACTTTTTGGAGTACTCTTATGTTTCTTGTTTATAGTGTGGGAGTTTCAGCTGTGATTTATGGGGGTCCATAGGGAAAACATACATCCACTTCCTCTTGGCCCCAAACTGGACCTCTGAAATGCAATTGATTTTTGTATATTGATGATGTTTCCAGTGACATGGCATAAACCCTTTTCAGATTAGAGTAATAGGTCTTTACATTATTTGGGATAGTCCATGCATGCAATTTTGTGATCCATGAATAATCAATACCATTTATTTATTTGTTTGTTTATTTATTCAGTTTCAAAAAAGAAAGAAAACTTTATTATTATGGAAACCTAGTAGAAGAGAAACGGAATCTACACATAGGTGTAGGTAATAGTAGGCAACAAATGAGAATTCGACAAAGTAACATCAAATCGGGCACTTACAACATCCAACCTCATCAGCTGGGGGTGTCCCGGTGGAAATAATCAGGCTGGAATCCCTATTTTATCCATTCAGGGCTTATCACTTTTTTTCCCCTTTATTTAATTGGTTGGTTCTTCTTGTCAAGTTTTCATGTCAATTTTTGTTTTTCTGGACTGATAAAATGTGCTAGGGAAGTATTCCTTCTTTATTCTCAGGGGAAGCCTGTGTAAGTTTGGTATGTGTGTGTGCATGTGTGTGTGCATGTGTGTGCTCACATGCTCATGTGTGTCGGCATTCCCATAGGTCTGCATGTGTTCACATGTTCGTGTGTGCATGTGTGTCCACATGTTCATGGGTGTCCATGTGCATGTGTGTCCACATGCATGTGCCTGTATTTCTTACGTGTTCACGTGTTTGTGTGCATGCATGTGTGTCAGTGTGTGCTCACATGTTCATGTGTGTAGGAGTATATGTGTGTTCATGTGTTTGTGTGTATGTAGGTGTGTCCATTTTCCGTGTGTGTGTGTATTTCACAATGCATCAGTATTTGGAGGCATTCACCAGTGAAACTTTCCAGATTCAGTTCACTCTGTGGGAAAAACTTTAATGCATATTCACCATATATTACACACACAGCAATTCAGATTTTCTATTTATCCCTATGTCTGTCATTTTGGTAACCTGTATTTTTGAGGATTTTGTCTTGTTTTATCTACATTTTCTAATATTTTGGCATAAAATTGTTCATAATATAATAATAACTAATAAAAATGAACATAATAAACTCTGTTATTGATTTAAAGTCTGTAGGCTGTGATGCTGTCCTGAATGGTGATGTGATGGGATGTGGGCCTTCTCTCTCTCTCTCTCTCTCTCTCTCTGTCCCTTGGCCATCGTGGCTAGGATTTATACATGTGATTAATATTTACAAAAATAAACATTTTGGGCTTTAGATTCTTCTTTATTTTTTGTTTGACCTCATTAGTAGCTTCTCTTATCACTGTATTTCCCTCCTTCTACCTTCATTTGGAATAATTTGCTATTCTTTTTTTAAATTCATGGTATGATGGCTTGGATCATTGACTTGGTTCTTAATTTTCCCATTTCATAGGTTTGATGTGTAACATTTACATTGTCCTTCAGTGTAAACATTCTCTCATTTCCATTTTGGTTTTCTCATTTCATTCCTGAATTATTGAGAAGTCCGTTGCTTTGATTTCCAAGGTATAGAGATAGTACTATCTTTGATGGAAGAATCAGGTGATTCCCAGAGGGTCCCGGGAGTTCCTACTGGTCTGCGTGAGGAGTCCAGGTTGGCTGGCATTAGGTGGCGCCCAGTGTGGGCAGCTCCTGTGCCTTCCAGGGTCTCTGCGGTCGCTTCCCTGGAGTGTGGGGTCTGGGTCCTTCCTGGGCTAGCGGAGGGCCAGAGCAGCATACACATTGGGCTCTGCTGGGGGCTCCCCTGGTTGGGAGGGAGGGGATGCACTTGTCTCTCGTCGGAGGGTCAAGCGGTTCAGCTGGGCGTAGGTCACATCTGAAGGGGCATGAGATGTCGCAGCCTGCAGCGGGGGAGAGAGGGGAGGTGTGTGATTGAGGAGGCGGGAGCCTGGGGGCTTGGAGAAGGGACCCACCTGACAGTCTGTCTGCCTGTCTTCCTCTGCTTGTCTGTCCTCCGAGCCCAGCAGTGCCCCAGACACGGGGGAAGGGGAAGGGGCCAGTCCCCGCCTGAGTCTTGATATTGAGTGGCTCACCTGGGCACATGTCAATCCCTGGGGGTCTTCATCCCGTGTGTTCTGCTGCAGACAGACAGTGAGGGGGAGGTTTGTCGCCTTGAATCCAATCGACCGCCTCAGACTCTTTTCCACACTGTTGCCACAGTGATACTTTCAAACTTTCAGGCAGATTAGGTCACTTTCCTGGTGGACTCTCCAGGGGCTTCCTGAGCCTTGGGACATGCAATGCTTTCTATGGCTCTGATTCTATTCCTGACACTGTTTCTTGTTCATTTGGCTCCAGCCACATAGCCTATGTTCCTTCAAAACATGTTGCTGCCCCAGGACTTTTGCACCTGCTACCCCTGCTCTTGTTTTATTTTCCTTGCCCACACTTTGCACTCGAGGGTGCTGCCCACTTCCTTGCATATTCTGTCTGTCACCCACAACGTGAGCTCATAGAGGGTGGGTCAGATTTGCCCACTGCTGTGCTTGCAGCACGAGGTGGGGCCTGGTAAATGGTGGGCTTCCTGTGCCCATTTACTGGGTGAATGAATGAAGGGGGCCTAAGACCTGTGGGTGATTCATTTCTTCATGCACCCTCTTGAGACCTGGGCATGCACCTCAACAGCCAGAAGTCAGACAGTGGTCAGGGAGCCAGGCAAGGGGAGCACAGAGGAGGCCCCATGAGGTCACAGCAGGCTGACCCAGAGTGCCCAAGGAGGGAGAAGGCATCTGAGGGACACCGCTGAGATTGGGTGGTGTGAGGACAGAGAAGTGTCCATTGGATTAAGTTTGGCACCACGAGGGCCCTGGGGTCTGCACGAGAGTGGGGGTCTCACCCGATGGTCCAGCTCCACCCCCTCCTCAGGCTGAGTGTCTTGCACGGCAGCATCTGCTGGGGCGAATGGGGGTACCTCAGGCAAGGTCCCCTGAGGTTTCTCAGACAGGGCAGCTGTGATCCAGAGGATTCAGCGGGGGGGGGGGAGGTGCCAAGGTCATGCATGTGGGAATTTGGTCCCCTGCCCCCAGACCCTCCCAGCCCACCCCCAGGGCAATCCCCTTCCTCTCACAGAGGCTCTCCTCTTGGGCAGCAGCAGCTGAGCTGGAGCTGGGGAGGAGACAGGGTGTTAAGGGGCATAGAGGGGGCGGGTAGGTGGGAGTCTGGGGGTGTGCGAGCAAGAGTTACCTGTCCTGCAGGCCTCTGTCCTTGGGCTCTGGGTCTGCAGCCCCTGCAGGACATTGGGAATCAGCCTCGCTCTGGGCGGAGGTTACGACCACCCCCCATGTGATTCCAGGGAAAGGAGCCCTTCACACATATTGTCTGTGTGTCTCTCCATCTCCCGAGATTGAAAAGAGGAAACACCTTCAGTTGGCACGTGGGTCCCACCTGGGTGTTTTCTTTCTAGACTCTCTGACTTGAGATTCTGCAAGTGTCTTTCCACACCAGCCTTTCCCACCTCTCTGGCTTCCTTCTGGCTGCTGCCCTGAGCCCACCCTCGGTCGGCCCACGGGGCAGCCACCACGCCCTGGGGCCCGTGACCCCCTCCCCTTCTCACCTGGCTTCCTGCCTTTGCCCCGACGCCGCTGTCGGACCAGGAGGAGGCCGAGGAGGCCGAGCAGCAGGACGACGGCCACCGAGACCCCGATGAGGACGTACAGGTACCAGTGGGGACCTGGGGCAGGAGCCACACCATGAAGGAGCCAGTGATGCCATTTAACTGAGCACCTGCTGTGTGCCAGGCACCTGCTGGGCTCTGTGCATTCACCTCTGACCCTGTCAGTGATCACGCAGCAGGGGATTGCCGCCCATCCCGCCCACTCCACAGACAGGAAACTGAGGCACAGAGGGGTCATGCACGTGTCTCAGGTCGCCCAGCGTGG